TGACCGAACCAAGACGTTGGCCCTGAAGGGCAGCATTGACAGTACGGGCACCCCCAGTTTCTCCAACTGTTGTCTCATTCGTTCTTCAGCACAATACCTCATGGCTTGAGGCCAGTCGGTCACCTCACTTCCTGCCACGCGGAGATACAGACGGGTTCGCCTTTTAAGCTGATTGACCTCTGATTCCACATGGCCGTTTGAGGCCGGGTCGTCTCCCTCCGTCATGCTCTGTCTTATAAGGCGCTCTGAGCACCATTTTTCAACCTTTTTTGACAGTAGCTCTTTAGCCCGATCACTATGCAGACGGTTGATCTTGATACCCATCGTGTTGAACTTCGCGATGCATTTTCCCAGGGCGACTAGGATTTCACTCACATGCCTTGACCCCAGAAGTTCCACCAATGTCACGTGCCGTACATTGAACGGCTGCTTGGATTCTTCTACCAACCTTTTGACTTCTTCCGTCATCGGGTCGGGATCTCCTTTTTCTTCCTTTCCACTGTTATCCTTCTCCCCCGACTCTGGAAGTTGATGATCTTCTCCACCAAGCGGGCAATCTCCCTCTTCGAGACCATCCCCCCACGAGGGTTCCAGAATTTTAGGTTTCCCCTTTTCTGGGGATTCTTCACATGGCATCACGATGTCCCTCGATGGAGCCTGATCTTGTGGTTCTTTCGGTCGATCTTCATCTTGACCCCGCATGTAATTCCAAATTCTGTCCGGTGTTTCCGGAAATCGTGATCCCCACCACTTCTTGGTCTTCTCCGTGGGCTCTTCCAAGGTGAGCCGATGGTTGGTCCTCTTTTCCATTTCCATGTGCTCAATCTCAGTGATCAGAGCCAGAGCGTGGTCCTTTCGAACCACTGGACACCCAGACCTTAACCAACATTCTATGTTTCCCAGTCGTGGATGCTTCACAACACATCCTGCACGGGACCAAGTGATGGTGTATCCCAATTCCACCAAACCTCGAAGAGGTACAATTGGTTCCACCGGTCCCTCCGACAAGAGGGTTCCATTCACAGGATTTTGATAGAGCTGAGCAGCTCCATGTGCGAGTTCCACAGTGACCTGCACCGCGTTCTTGATCTCCTCGGTTGATCCCTGTCTCAAGGGGTGTGTCGCCCCACCATCCAATAAACCTGTCCCATCATCAAATTCAACTTCGAGATGATCCCCACCATGCCCCACCGATTTCAAGACCGGTCCATTGAGACCCTTCAAAAGGTTGGTCACTTCTCCCACAACCTTGTTGGCCTCCTCTGGTACAGGGGTTATAGTGACCGTGGACTCCTTCATCGGATTGATCTTCACGGTAGGTTCAGAATGTTCTTGAGCAGCACCTCCCTCTTTTCCAGGACCATTTTTCCTCTCTTGAGATCTTGAGCGGATTCTTGTGGTTTTGGCCACCTTTGGTTCCTCGGATCCACCTTGTGGACCTCGTGACTCACTTCGTTTTCCCGCCGGACAATCACGTCGGGAGTGTCCCTTTCCAGAACAGTTGAAACATCGGCCATCTTTAGAGTCCAAAACGGTGTGCGTGAATCGGCACCGGTCAGCATATTGGCATCCCTTATCTGTCAGCCAGTTGACGCACGCCACATTATGGACCACATTAGCGGCGTTAATCGGCAGCTCGGGCTTCTCCCCCCTCCTTCCGGTGGAAGAACCTGCTGCGTCTTCTGGTTTTCCTTTTGAACCGCCCTTTGGTGGATTTTCAGATGGATCCGGTCCACTCATAGACTTCACCCCTACCACATTGTTGGGCTTAGTCGTTGGGCCCTGTATTGTGTTCCCCGGTTGACGGATAGCCATTTCACCAGCTTCAGCTTGAAGAAGTTCAGAAAACGTTCTGATCTCTTGCATTCCTGGCCGGAGATCGATGCCCAAATGCTGCCTCACCGAAGACAATCGGTAGGCCGCCTGAGCTCCCCCCAACCCGGCTAATGCATCACTCATTTTTGCGACCACTCCGGCCAAAACCAGAGGATCGGGTAAAACTAATTGAAGTTCTTCGGCACGAACTACCCACCTTCTCCATTTCCGGATGGAGTTGACCATCTCTGCAGCATCATTGGATGGGCCCTTCCAGTCCACCAACATTTGCAACAGAGAAGTTCTTTCCACTTGTCCTCCAGGCTGGAAGACGGTGTACAGCTTGAACATGACTTGACCCGCTGACATGTGTCTGTTCGCCACAAGGTCCTCGTAGATGTCCTTGGGGACGGCTTGAAGCAGCATACCCACCACCCGTTTCTCTGTGCGAGGCCACCTACGGGCCATGTCAGGTATCACAGGCGCCATCCGGAGCCTCATGAGTGGATCCGCTTGCAACCAGTGGTGGTATGCTTGTTCAACAGCAGTCATCACTACTTCCCACCATTGCTCTGAGGTGTAGCTCACATCCCCAATCATCTGTTGGGCAACTGTCAGCCAGTCTCCAAAGTCCAAAGATGTTGCATTCCTGTCCAGCTTCGGCAATTCGACCGATCTTAGCGTTTCGCCTGGTACTTCTCCCCCTGCCTGAGGTCCTGCTTGGACTACAGCTTGTTGTTGTTGTGGCGGTGCAGCTTGTCCTGGATTTCCTTGATGACCACCTGGGAGACCGGGATTTCCCTGATGACCACCTGGCGGACCAGGTGCTTGTCCGGGATTTCCATACTGCCCTGGCGGTGGACCCCCTGGCCAACCATAACCACCCATAGGTCCGGTGTTTCCTCCCGGAAATGCAAAAACCCCTTGAGGTCGATGATCTTGTCCTGCAGGTGCTCCTCCAACTTGGACTTGAGGATTATACCATTGATTAGGTTGGTCACCGATGAAAAAGTGTTTTGTGTTTTCCGTGGCTCCCATGCAAGGAACTCCCATCGGTGGTCTTGACGCCGCTCTCTGCGGCATACCTCCCGGTGGTATTCCAATTAGCCACCCTTGATTCATGTACACATCCATCGGCCGAAAACCTTGTTCGACCTTGGGCGCAGGAGGAACATTCCACAACTGACCTCCCGCCTGCATTTGAAGATCTTGATCATGGTGATGTTGAACTCCTGGAACTGGTTGATCTTGCACATGTTGTACCTGGGGTGGAACACCTTGAGGTGGCCCCACAGGAAAACCCTGCTCGACATTCTTCAGCTCCGGCGAGGCGGTTTGATAAGACCCCCCACTTGACTGAGAGCCCTTGTGACCTCCTCCGGCTTCTCGGACCCGTTCCAGGGCACGTTTCTCTTCCCGCGTGGCTAACCAATTTTCTCGATCTTGTTGGATCTCGGTCTTGCCCCGTTGAAAGAATTCCATCATTTGCTGTTTCAACTCCTCATACTTTTCCTTCTCCCTCGCGTCCGCCTGATCAATCAGGTCTTGCGACACTATGGGATAAGTCAGCTCTTTCACTGGAGTTTGTGGACTGCTCATTAGAGCTTCCACTCGCTTGGCAGCACTCCATGGATTCGTTTCCTCTGCAGCCATGACCCCGGTTACAATCCCAGGATCCACAACCGCCGTTCCCCACTGAGGCACCATTCCCGTAGGTGGCACTCCAGCACACATGGATTGCTGGGACATCCCAGCTACTTGCGAACCCTGTGTTCCACCAGTTGCGGTATACACCACAGGTGCTCCCGCTGGCTGGTAGATCACAGGTGAGCCTGTTGGTGCCGCTGGCACCGATTGTTTGACGCGTGCATCTTCAGGAGACTCAACAGGTGAACGTCCCGGTCGCTCCAAAAGAGCAACGGTTTCCACAACAGCAGCCGCACCTCCACCCACTTCAGTTGAGCTTTGGTGTTTTCCACCCTGTCCTTCTTCTCGATTACCCACAACAGGTGGTTCACGAAATCCCTCAGACATCCGGGCAACTACTGGTGTTTGTGTCATAGGCGCTCCCGAAAGAGTTAGACTATTCACACCTGGGGTCAAACCAGACAACAGACCGCCACTCCCATTTCCTCGTACCACTTCAAGTCCAGGAGGTTCTTCAGGTGGTAAGGACACTGGTCTTGCGACTTCTTCCGCAACAGCCGGATTCTGGGCGATTCGTTCGCCCGCTCCAGCCCGGACCGCCGCAACCTGCACTAGGGCTCCACTTCCCCCAGCACCGGTCAGTGCCATCACACTTTCTCCAACTTCCCCTTCCATCAGTGATCTTCGGGTTGAGTCTGATGATCTTGTCCCTGTTCTTTCCCCATGTGCTTGTCCAGGTGCGTCCATCTCCTCCAGAAGCCGGTCCAGCATTTGGTCTGCCGTTTCCGCGCGTTCTTCTTCAGCACGAGCAGCCGCCTGACCTTGATGTTCTTGTCGACGACGCTGAGTGAAGTCGCTGCTCGACATGGCTTCAGGGCAGCGTTGGGGTTGGGCTCATAACCCACGGGTTTCAGACTATGACCGAGACCCTTCCCGGAGGTCCCCACCAAGAGGCAGATGCAAGTGCACTTTTTCACTCCAAGTTGGGCTCGGTAAATTGAGCCAGTCAGTTGATTGGCCCTTGAGCCAAATTGAATGGCTTGAGCCAAGTTGCAACAGTCGGAGGACGTCTCAACGACTGTGAAAACTTTAAAAAAGACCTTAGTGGGGGTGCAGTGGTACTCTGTGCATGTTTCCCAAACCGCAAAACCAATTCGCAGCAAAAATGGTCCCCAACTAAGTAGCCTTCCGGCCACCAATTCGTGGAGGGTCAAACAGTTCAATCCCATCCCTCGTTCATATTGAACACTCCCATTCTATGGTCCCATCATTGTTTATCCCCATAGAATCCATAATGTGTTTTTCTGATTTTTTCGAGCCTGTTTAACATGAACGGGGACAGGGATCATTTCAATAGTATTATATCCCCCTTATATACCCATTAAATACCCATCGTGGTTACGAAAACAAATCCTCCACCAAGTTGATATCTAGGTGAACTATGGTTCACCATGATTTTTCAACATGTTCATCTCCCAAACCAGCCACATCACAGGGGGGGTTGAGCCTCACCTGGCCTCCACCTAAGCCAAAGCCACTGCGATGGATGCGGTGAATCGGCCGTTGCAAGTCCTCCTCGACGCCGGGCGCTCCGGTCACTGCCATGGCCTTGGAGCTCAGGCCCGCCCGGCCTTTTTTGTCACGAAAATGTGGGAAACCTCAGAAACCAGCCCCCAAAATCACCATAAATCACAATAAATGGTTGGTAAATGATGGTTAATGGATGTTAATGGTTGATTAGGTTGAAAACATTATCTGGAGAAAGAAAACTGGAACTATGATCTGCTTATGGTAATGAAACAACAACAAAATCCGAGGTTTAGACTAAAAAAACATGTAGTTCCATTAAAATCGCCGCTTTGGGGTATCCTTTTCTGTGGACAAACCCAAATCTGCCAGATCACCCTTCGAGAAACTGAATGGAGTGATTGAAGGCAAAAATGACGTCAACTATCCATATTTCGACAGGAAGAAAAACGGTTTCCTGAAAATGTTCGTTTCAACCAATTTTGGGGTAACAAATTTTGGGTTTGTTAGTAAAGGCAGGTATCAAACCCTATGATTGAGACCATTAGAAATTGCAGTTGCGTGATCTGACTATTTCGGGGTTCCACACAATGGTGGATAATACATTTTTCCAATGTATTGGATTATCTTTGTTTCCATGTTAGTGTAACAAATGGGGCAAATTGCCAAGGTGGGTGTTCCAAAACTGATCATGTTCCTCGTTAAAACGATCATTTTTTGATACATCCCCTCAATTTGATGACAACCAGCTCTCCACTTTCCTGAGTGACCAGCTCTCAGCGTTGTCTTTGTCTTTGTACATGTGAGAGATGCATTCATGAGCCGAAACTGCAAAAAGAAACCCGTGCCGTCTGACCTCCCTGCTAAAGCCAAGCCAGAAGCACGTCTTAAGCAATTGTAGCATCAGTCGGCAACATAAACGTGTAGGGGGACAAAACGTAACATCACACCACATTGAATAAACATTGTATGCATATATTAGGTCGACAGATTAGATTAAACTAAATAAATTGGATCAGATTAGATTAGGTTAGGTAAGGTTAGTTAGATTGAAATAGATAGAGGCAAATAGAGATAGATGGGAATAGAGAGGAATAATAGCTACAAATAGATATGAACAGATACGTAGATAGCAATAGATACACATTGGTACTGTATGAATAGATACGAATAAATGAATGGATACATGAGTAGGTAGATAGATAAGTAGATAGCTAGATAGGTAGATGGATAGATAGATAGATAGATAGATAAATAGATAGATAGATAGATAGACAGATAGATAGATAGATACATAGATAGATAGATAGACAGACAGACAGACAGCTAGGTAGCTAGGTAGCTAGGTAGCTAGGTAGCTAGGTGGATAGATAGATAGATAGATAGATCGATCGATCGATCGATCGATAGATCGATAGATAGATAGATAGGTAGAAAGATAAATGGATAGATAGACAGATAGATAGATAGGTAGGTAGATAGATAGATAGATACATAGATAGATAGGTAGATAGGTAGATAGGCAGATAGGTAGTTAGGCAGATAGGTAGATAGACAGATAGATGGATAAGTAGATCGATAAACAAATAGACAGATAGGTACAGTAGGTCGGTAGATAGATAGGTAGGTAGATGGATGGATGGATAGGTAGTGAGAGATTTATTTTTGGAAAGATAATTATACAGATCAATGTGGAAAGTGAGATAGGTAGATATAGGTAGATAATGTAGATACACATACAAATAGAGAAATCGATAGAAATATAGATATAGATGGAAATATGGATGCAGATATGGATGGAGATACCGATCGAAATATAGATAGAGAGATAGAGAGATAGAGAGAGATAGAGAGAGATAGAGAGATAGATAGATAGATAGATAAATAGATAGATAGATAGATAGGTAGATCGATCGATCGATAGATCGATCGATCGATCGATAGATAGATAGAGAGGTAGATAGACAGACAGACAGACAGACAGACAGACAGACAGATAGATAGATAGATAGATCGATGCAGATACAGATAGAGATGCAAATATAGATACAAATAAAGACCTAGGTAGGTAGTTAGATAGATAGGTAGATAGATAGATAGATAGGTTAGACACATACATTTATTGGTAAACTAGCTACATACATAGACTAGATACTTATAGGTAGGTAGATTTGTTGACTGACTGATTGATTGATTGATTGACTGACTGATTGGTTGAGTGACCAGATCAAATTAGATCTAGGTTGTAGGTTAGATTAGGTTGGAGTGGATTAAATTTAGATTCGATTTGGTTAGACTGACTGATACACGGATAGGCAAATTGATAGACTGATAGGTGGATAGACTGATTGGTAGGTCGACAGGTTGAAAGGCAGATTGCTTAGATGAATTGGATTGAAAAGGTAATGTAGGTTATACAGATCGATTAGACACAGTACACTTTAGATATATAAAATATGGTTCCGAATTATCTTCTCGAATAGGGCATCATGATACGTTATTTCATGGCATGTCATTCCAGTGCTTCCAAACTTCAGGCCCTTTGCCGCAACGCAGAGCTATCTAGTTAGAGTACACCAAAATAGCTAGACAAGTTGGACATCTGCAAATGATGGGCGGAAAGTCATGAACATGGGGGTAAATAAAAGCCCTCCTGCAATATACCATTATAGGGCGGAAGTCATGAATATTATTATTATATATATATACCATTCTGTAAATGCTGTTCCGTCTTTCTGTTGCTGCCGGTCCTCGAGCTTCTCCTAAGCCCGTGGCAGCGAAGGCCAGCTCACCAGGGACATCCTTTTCTTGGCACATCAAAAGCGCCATTACTTTGGTTTTTGTATTTTTCTGGGGTGGTGGTGAGATTAACTTAATGGTATTGTAGATATGTAATGAAACATACCTAAATACATAGATTTAAATGTATATTCACCTTTATCTACGCCAAAAAAAATATAATATAGACACTTATCACTTACGCCATCGGCTCCAGAGGGTCAGCCGAGCAATATCGCTGCCAAGCATCGCCACGTACAAAGCTCAGGCCAGAACGACGCGGAGGTCGAGTGGGCCTCAGATCATCCACCTATTTGGGGTTTACTAAGCTATGGCGGGCCCCCCAAATCACCATGGTTGACTTCATGGGGTTCAACCAATCAAACTAGGGGATATAATGGGATAGAAATAACCGCGCCCCCATGACTTAGGAGACCTCCATATGTATGCCGATGTAATGGGGATATGATGGGATCTCATGGGATTTTCCCAACTAAAATTAGGGATGTTTGACGACATAATGGGATATGTGTATCCAGCTTGACATGTGCCATGGTGAAAACATGGTATATGGGGTATGGTCATCCCACCATCATTAAACATTTGTGATTTGTTATATTATATAGTTGGTTTTTGAAAATCCCTATTTCTCAATTGTGACCATCCCCCCAGATGGGTATACAATCCAATTTTGACGGAATCCTGCGCGAGCGACGTCGCAGCACCAACGCCCCTTCCCGGTTAAGAGGGGTACGAGGTGCAAGGATGGGGGCGAACCGAAAATAGCAAGCACTCAGCTAACTACAATGTATTGGCCGTATGCCACGGGAATGTCGCACTAAGGATAGCAGTTGACAAACCACATCGCGCGGTTGCCCCTTGCCGAGTGAAAAGACAATGGCATACAGAAACAACCATGTCGTCAGAGCTGCTTCGAACATTGCGTATCTTGGAAAACTGTACATCGAGAACCACTGTCAACTGGATAACTAGTATCAAGCAAGCAACAACTGAAAGCAAATCAAGACAAGGAAAAAACAGCACAAAGCGCAGGCACCCAACCGTTGGTACGACTGAGGGCGTTCTGTTCTCTGACAAACTTATGCACAGTGCAATCACGACTTCTGACTCAATGACAAGCTGGGGCGGCAAGCAATCATCATCATTCAAGTCAAACTGACAAACCGGAACCTACAAGTGATGCACTAGGTAAGCTGGTAGGCAAGAACACACTCATGACTCAAGTCCAAGGCCAAAAGCTGAAGTCACTGGCGATTCAGGGCATTGCAGAAAGCGAGTGACATGAGCCCATCCAGAGCATCCGCCGCAAAGCAGTTCAACGACACACACCATGCCATGGGGGTTTGGGTTCCAGCGTTCAGGTGTTGGTATAACCTGCACCATCTGTCAAACATCAAAAACACTTGGCAAGGATAAATGTCTGCAAGCAAACGAAAGGATGTCAATCCACTCCATAGTTCACAAGAAGTAACTATCTGCGATGTCATGTGGACAGCGCCCTGACGTCAGTCCCAAGCTACGGGACTGAGATTTCACCGAGAGATGAGAAGCACCCACAAGGTCAGACGACAGAACCTCTGAAGATCCCAAAGCAACCACCCGAAGGCCAATCAGATCAATTGCACGAGTCCACTGATTAAGGGAGATCTTCAACAAGTATCTATCGTCCGCGAGATCATGTGAGCAACGTCCATGTGTCAAGCTAAGCGACCGAACTCCATCTCTCACCAGGGAATGGCAAGAGTCAACAGGGCAAGCCAAGACAACTGACAACAAGTAAGACACTCATCGAGACCACCTTCAAATCCGTCAAGATACAAGTAACCCGGTAGTGGCAAGGGCACATGGTCGGAGATGGACAAATGTACTTCACGACCTGGGTCAAAGGTCCATGTGAGAACTCCATGGCTCAATCGGTGGGGCATCACCCTCCTACCTCGCTATATGTGGCAGCTTGAGCCTTGAGGCTATCCAATGTTTGACCATGGTACATGTGCATTACGGATATGTCCAGGGATAAGATATACATTACCCAATCCTTGCGGATAACCATCAAGTTTATACAGTTCTAGATGTTGTTGTCTATGTAAAGACACATGTAGAATGTAGAAGACATGTCAAAAGATCATCAATAATGTCAACACCAGATTAATAAACCATGGTCTATTAATTCTGGTGGTACCCTCAAAATAGTGAGAATTATATATATATATAATTATGATACTTAATTCGTACCCCCCGATTAAACAGCCTCGGGGGTTTGTTAATCCAGGGTTGACATTAGGAATCATCGTGATCCGAGGTGATCCGAGTCATTACTGCCAGCTGAAGTGGCGCTGCTCAGCCAGGTTCAACCCTGCATTTCGAACAGCGAGGTTCTCAAATGTGTTAAATGAAGGGGTGGTACTTCTGAATGTAGTAGCAGTAGCATGTTGTAGCCACCGCTGAAGGAAAGGTGTAGTTAGTACAGTGTAGAAGAATCAGGGGCGAACCGTTCTGAAAACTCCACCGACCCTGAGCCGCGAACACTGCCCTCCATATTTTGCCTTTGCGCTGCGGGCGTTGAACCAGATACCCTCTGGTAATCAAACATGGAAGGGAAATCCCGGTTAGTTTACATGGGAAAATCATCTATAAATAAGGAAAATCCTCCATGTGTAGAGAATTTTGCCAGTAAAGCAGCATTTATAGAGGGTTTTCCATTGCTGAAAGTTTCACAGTTTCACAAGTTCACGTGCCACAATTCTCAACTGATTTCTTTCAGGCCGAGGTGCGCTGAACCACTCCATTCGGGGAATCCATGGAAAGCTCGGCAGAGAGGTGTAAGGCCTAAGGAAAGAGACAACACATTGGTCACAGCTTAATGCTTATGACATACAGCATTCAAATTCAGCACTTTGTCAAAGTATGTCAATGCAATCTCCAACTGGCAGAGTTCACTTTTGCTCCTTTGTTTGACGTTGCAACTGTTTTTGCTTTTTGTTCCATGTGCTTGAGAGGCTTCTGCCGGGGTCAAGAAACTG